ATTTTCAATCATCGCCCTCTTGAACAGTTAGTTTTTCCTTGTTTTTTTTTGGTTATGCTCACTGTCCGTATCAGATGGTTACGTATGTGACCACATTTCCACTCTACGACGTTAGTAGATTTCATGATGGATTTGCTGATATCATTACATAACAAAAAGGAGTTAGTCCATGTGTTGCATCCAATTTAGTTTTCAGAACAATTGTTCCACTTTCAGCTTTATTCATTGATACTGGATGTACTCATCCAGTCAGCATTAAGATTCTATGCATCTATAAAGGTAATCTTATTTTCTATATGTAATAAAAATCGCCTGCATTACCACACAGCGTTTTTGATTCAAAAAGTTTGCAAGCATTAAGATGAAAGCGTGTAACTTCATGTTTCTAAACGGAAACTCCATAGCTGTCTGAGATTCGGAAGATTCACCGTCATGCTTTCATGATGTTAAAATCAAATGCAAGAGGATGGATGTAATTTTATCAAAATTCTTAGAGGTGCCTCTAGTGTTGCGTGTTTCACATTGCGATTTGAGTTTATGTACTTTATGTCTCAAGAACGTTGTTTTTGCGATTGATACTACTTTTGTTTCGTTTCTCATAGCCTATCATCTTTCAAAATTTGTTCAACGAATTTTGCTTTTTTTCGATGAGAAGCTCATGAAAAAAACTGCTGAACGTTGTTACACAATGCGATTGTACAGGTAACTTTCGGCATTATTGATACGTTTGGTTGTGCTTATTCAATTTTATTCGTTTGAAGTGTTAATTGGTTTGTTGTTTTTCCGATAACACGAGAGGAAGTGTGTTATTAAAGGTTGATGGCAGTTTCATTGCTCATCTCCAATAATGAAGAACCGTTAAAACTGGATAATGAATTAAAGAAATGATTTGATACAGACTCTTTTTAAATTCAAAATATTGTTTCCTTCAGAGAGGTCAACAACGTCAAGATGTTTTTGTTTTCGGTATACTCGAACACTCCACCTTTTATCGACACACCAAAACAAATAACAATCTTACGTATGCATGCTCGTTCCACTGGCATCAAGACATCTCTTCTTCCTCTCTGCGTCTAATTTAATTGAATCTTTTATGTTGCCACCAACACGAGTTCGTCAGTATGAATCGAAAAAAAATTTCTTTAATTTTCGAATTTTCTGAAATACGAAACGTTTCTCTGTCCCTTTGCATTTCAGTTTTCCGTGACTAGAGCAAATTAGCCAGATCAAAGTGTCCAGTTTCCTCGCCTTCTCTGATCACACATCTCGTTTTCTCCGACTGTCTCTGAACATCACTCGTCAGTGAAAGATTAATGTGATATCAGTGAAACTTCTGTCAAACTAATGAAAAATGGTGATCACCTCTTCGAGACTTCTATTGCCAATAACTCGTGTTCGATGAGCTGTCGAAGCCTTAATCGAAAATTTTCAGGTCGCAAAGTTACTCCATTATTCCACTTCGCAAAGTGGTTTATTGAGGTGGATCAGATAAGTAAGAATTAATTAATGAAGCGCACTTCACCTATAAGTGGAGAGTTGTAGCATCAGTTCAAAGATCTATTTGCGATCATTTTTGCCTTCTTCAAAATTTCAGGTCAAAATCATTCCAGGTTTCCGATTCTTGACTGATATTACGAGGAAAGATAATGCGGTAATTTTATTAGCTCTTCCCTCATTTACCCAATGGAGAGAGCTATCACTCAACATTTTGATCAAGTACAGAGTTTTGCGGTCGTTCCGCAAGGAATGATTTTTAAGTAATTCACGACTGTTCCTGTTGAAATTTTTCCGCATTGCACCAGTTTTTCGCAAGCGAAATATAATGCTCAAGGAACAAGGATCAAAGAAGAATAGAATCGGAGAAGAAAAAGATGCTATCAGATGCATTGCTGATTGAAAGTTTTGTGACTCCTCAAATTAGAACTTCTTCAGAAATTATTGGTAGTGCGAATATCTACCATTTAAACATTCTTCAAAAAACCATGTGACAAGGAATTTTTCATAATGTATGGAAATTTGATCGTATCAGACGAATTCATCAAGAGACTAACGAGAAATTTTTTCGAAATGATAGCCAGAAAAACATCTGATTGAATCGTACTTGAATAAGACAAGAATGAACTGTATTTATAATAAATAGTTGAATAAATGAATAAGCATAAGTAGATGATAGGAAAGAGTGAGAACTGCAGGCATTGGCCTCATTTTCGAACTCGATGCAATCCTGCTGTGCTGATAGCGTGAAACATTGGCGTTGTCGAAAAACTGAACAATTGAAAAAAACGCGAATGCTATATTAATCATTACAATGGGAATAACAATTATTTTTGATCAAAATAATAATAGTTCTTATTATAATTCTCTGCATAAATGTCTTTCTCTTCATTTACTTACATTTACCTCCATTCATTTTGTGTTCGATGAGCCCAGTATCAGTGTATGGTTTTAGTTAAGAGGCGATTTTAATTTATGAAATAACCCTAAGAGATGACAACTGATTTATGTTATCGTAATATGATAGTGTGATCGCATTTCTCAATCTTATTCACACCACACATAATCCTCTACAAACACTGCTTAGGCATATTGAGTTGTCGTCTCATTGGAGCGCTTTTGTGCCATTAACTGGAGACACTTATCGAGAACATTACTTCATATCACCAATCACCGACGGCATTCCCATCCTTCGAACTATTTTCTCAAACATAAACTAATTTCGGCTATTGCCCTCTTTGATTGTTCTATTTGGTAAAATTAATGAATATCGTCTACAAATATTTCGCGATTGCTGTTAAATTAACAAAAGTTAACAATTTCACTGAGTGATTTTTAAAAAAAATTGTGATAATCTTATCAGCAATCCTATAAGTGCCATCATCCAGCCGGGGATGTTTTCGGATGGAGAATTGTGCTTGTTTCCGAGTTCATTTAGGATGAACGAAATGATTGGACGTGATAAGAATGCACCACGCTAAAAAACTAAGCTAGAGTCTTCAGGTATGTTTTTATCCGCCTCCTATTCATCCATTCAAACAGATATGCGAGCGAGCCAAGGATTATTTGACTCTAGGTGCATTTTAATCGTTAACCAACGTGGGCACGATATAAGTATACTGAAAACGACCAGTTCCACATTCCATTGCAGGAATGCCTTCCAGTTCTAGAAATGCTCTTTAAAGTATTATGGTATTGTTATTATGCTACAAGAAGCATTCGCCTGTTGTTTTTTTTTTAACAATCGTGATGAATAAATATTTGACGATATGCATGTAATGAAGATGAATGTGAAGCCACTTTCAGATGTTGCGGTGCGTAGTATTTTTTGTGATGACAATAGCAAGAAATAGCGGAAATGATAATAATAGTAATAGTGATAGTATTGTTATAATCACTTCTACGTAATTTGATTAGTCTGCGCAAATTATTGTAGACGTATGATACATCAGAGACATATGCGTCCAGAATCGATCTGTTATCCATGTGATTGCACCGCTCCGTGTAAATTTGAGTCGTCTAATCGCATTCTGTATTTATATTTTCGTCATATTTATTGTGACACGAAAAATGAAGTAGTTTTCATTCGAATGTGCGATTTTTGCAATAAATTAGCATTTAAGGAACTTGTGTGTTCGCTTAATATGCAATAGCTGTGAGTACATCCGGATGTGATGTCGCAAGATTGTCTTTCTCTTCATGAATCGTAATGATCTAAGGAAGGAAATTTTCAGAATGGCAACGCTACGAAAGCGTTCACCATCTCATTCGAGTTGTAGCTCTTGTAGATCGTGGAGTGTTATCGACAATCCCGAATTTGAGGTAAGTAAGCATTTTTAGAAAGAAATACGAACTGTTAAATTCAGTAACGTTTGTTCGATCTTATATGCTTATTCATCTTATTGAATTACATTGCTGTTTATTCGTATGCAAGAGCATTGCAAGTTCAAATAATTAAATGGGTAAAAGAGTTTCAATTAAGATATACGATGGGAACGATTCGGATTCATCTGCATGTGAATTAACAGATTGTGAATGTGACCATAAATTTGAATGTTTTGATGATGATCATCGGGTGACGACAAACAGTGAAACGAATTATTTCGAGAAGGATAATAGCGATGATAAAGAAGAGGATGTCAGCTTTAAGTTATCATTGATTCCGTTAAATTGTTCTCTATTCGTTACTTGCACTTCGATATGACACTGAAATTGATAATCACTTAATTGAAATGATCGTCATTTAATTGAAGTGATCCTGTTTATGTTTGTTGGCGTCTTTATCAACTACTGATTGGAATATGGACGTAGATAACTTTGAAGTAGTAATAAATTTCGATTTTCAATTCACTTAACAAAAAATGACAGTGTGCAAAACTTATTAGTTACATATTCCAGCCGATACCGTATACGTTGTTGTGGTAAGGATTAATATGATAGTGAAATCGAATAATTTCAAATTTCAATTTTCTAGAATGATGATTATTTGGTAATCGATGAAAAAATGATATTGCGCGATGATTCTTCCATGAAAGAAAGTAATGATGATGTTGATAAAGTTTGGCGTAAACTTGATTCCTTATGTAAGTTTTTAATATTTTTAATGTGTTACTGTTAGCGTGCGGTGTCATTTGATTCATTCGTTGATGTGTTGAAGAATAAGAATTTAAATCTAATGGTGTTTGATTAATGCTCATTGATTTCGAATGAAGTTGCTGTCGATGAGAGATTCGAGAATGCATTTGGATCAAGTTTAATCGAACAGATAGACTCTTCATCTTTCTTCTTTATTGACTCATCATTAAAACATTATAGTGGGCAATGTTAAAATGTGTCAAAATCTTGACATTTGATTCTTTTTTGAATATAATGCTCGTAATTTTTCGATTGTGAACTGTGAATGTAATATTGATATAATAACTTTTTCTATCATTTTAGCACAATCTTTTCAATCACCTGTGGAACGTTTCTTAGGTTCATGCTGTGAACTGCCTACTCATCTCAAAATTTTCTCACTTACGACCGTTGTCTCGACATCAATCTTGTTCGCTTTACTTTTGAAATGTTCAGGTGATTCGTATTAATTTGCTTTCTTATCAATTCCTGTTTTATTCTTTACTGACTATGAATTTTGAAGACGATTTTCTCATTGTTGGTTGAGATTATTCCGACGCCATAATGTTAGATTTACATTACGGAATGTACAACACAAGAAAGATACCCCAATGTACAACACAAGAAAGATACTCCAATGTACAACACCCTCAAAATCGCTAGTGTTTCCTGCTTCTAAATATTGCTTTGACAACGTAAAATTGATTATTTCACGGAGAGGTCACTTTCTCGGATAATGCTTAAGTGTTTTGCGCGAAAATTTTGCACTTAACTGGAAGTAAAAATCATTTGTCCTCATCATTTCTGATATGATATGAAGATCAATTAAAGAACTGTTGTGTAGAAAGGTTCACTTGTTGCTAATTCTTTTTTTTTTCAGTTCATCACTGCGATCATTTACATCATTTCGATGCATACAATTCAGTCTATGTCCTCGATAAGGTATATATCTACTCAAATAAACCGTTTCTCTTTTCTGTCTTAAAATTAAGTCAGTTTTTGTCATTTCAAGTATTTGAACACATACGTATGTTAGTTTTGATAGAGTTGTACATTACGAGAAGTCATAGTACTGCTGTGCGATTGTAACGATGCGTTCTTGGAATTGATCATTTCATATTTCCATGATTTTCACAGCTGAATTCCATCTCGGTATTTTTCAGGAGCCATTTTTCGGTCTGCAGTGCCGAAAACCGAGCTCACTGGAAGCTTCGTTCAAGCCAACATTTGTTTGGCCTTCACCAAACTCACTCATACCATCGGAATCGTACCAAAACCAGGATTACGTAGAATCTGGAACAAATTATGTCAAAAAGCACATCGCGAATGCCCGATCTACTCTTGCACACTATCAGCCACCTGAGTATTGCTCTGATGAAGAATATCAGGTTTTTTCGCCGTTTTCTTCATCATATTTACAGACTTCAAACGTTTATCCGCTTCGTATTTTCTTCAATAACGCATTGTTGAAGATTGTAAAACTAACTTATTCTATTCCTTATTTGTTTCATTCACCTGAAAATGTTACATTCTAGCGCACCTTTATGGCGATGAAAGAATCAGTGCGACGTTATTTGAATCATTCGAAATCACGGAAAACAAGTGCTGTAATTGGTCCACCTCGCGAAAGAACGATCAGTGGAAAGGAATCATCATCTTTAGTGTTGCAGAGTCAAAGAAGGCTAGCAACTACGATTGATTACATCAACAAACCTAACAGTAGTGTTGGTTTTTGTTATCTGCTTTTATCTCATCTTTTCTTCAATACCAGTGACAGACTCGTGATTGATGAACGAATGATTCAGTGATATTTCCATTCGATGCAACTATAATTCGAATGTTCGCTAGTGTTTTGCATCGTATATAACAAAGAATAGCGTCAATTATTTCAGATCCATGAATTTTTCATGGAATTCGTTGTAGATATGCCGAAAATGTATCTGATTGCATCTGATTGAACACAACTTCATCTGCCATGTAACCAATCGATCAGCGATAGTTCATTTGCATTTTCAGTGGTGTTATCGATGGGCGTTTGACTCAAGTGGTGATAAAAAAGAAATTGATTTCAAAAAAAGTCTGAAGAAGAAGGTGTGGAATATTCTCACTGCATCCGTACTAAAAACACCAAAAGTGGCTGGAAAAATACTGAAAACCAATTTAATGGCATCGATCGTACGTGAAAGCAAACTGGCGAAAAAATTTCGAAATGTTTGTTCATTCATTCTCCTTTCGTTCCAGTTCCACAAAAATAATCTCACTGCAACACTCGCGTTAATTCCAATCAAAACATTCCGAAAAAAGAAAATTCCTCTGGTCTCTATTCTTTTCCTCTTTGTCATTTTATTCTAATTGTTATTCATTTCCGTATAAATGTTGTCAACTGTAAGAGAATAAGAATTTATTCAACCAAAATACGATGGTTACGGCAATACTGTGTCTTTTTACTTCTTCTACTAGTTTCTTTGGTAGTTTCCATTCGGACTGCTGAAAATCCGTTCGATAGCTGTCGTGAACACTCAATAAAAGGTTGTTGTGAATTTTGAATGTCATCTAATCAATTTCATTGCGTATTGCAATTTTCCGCTTGAAGGCTTTTTCATCAGTGAAGAATTCAATTGGTCGAAGTATTGCTAACGTCAAGGTCAAATACGTTAAAGCCAAACAACGAGCGATATCATCGTGGAAGAGTTTTGCGAATTTCTCGCGTCTCTCTCGATTTCGGGTAATATCCAATCGTGTTCGTTGAAATTAGCAGATCAACGATTGTTTTGATGCGCTGCTTTGCTAATTTCTTTCTGTCAACTTTTCTTTTTTTCAATTTCGGACACTTCTCTTCGGGCATTGAATTGCCTTCGAATATCGGAGTGCAATAAAGATGAATCTGAATAGTATTTTATTATCAGTTTCATTCATGTACTAACCACATGCAGAATGCATCGGGTGAACCGGGTGGGGTACCTGCTGGAGTTTTAGCCTACTTAAAACCTAGGCCAATTCAGACGGTTGAAGCTGAAACTCAGATGGAAGTTCTGGAGCACCCGAAAGCATTTCATTTGTTGCCTTACGGGTCAATGATCACAATTTAGCTGTGTTACTGCATTCTACTCATTGTAAACAATACAAGAGCAGAAATATTGTAACATTTCCTATCCGTCTGCTAAATAATCGGTTATTAATAACATTCGCTAATCGACTCTGTCAATTTAAGAAATTCAACACTTCCTATTATCAATCACTTCGCTTATTACCCACTTCCTATCAATCACCGTCACCGTGTACCGTCAATCGAACATCGGTTTTGGTAAAATCACCGTCATCGTGTTCCATCCAACAACCATCGGTTTTGCTAAAAAACGAACCGAAATGTTTTGTGAATAGTACGTGTTATTGTTTAGCAACGCTTGCTTCTATACTCGACTCCACTCAGACATTTTTATCGTTTGCCGATTTTAATAACAACGCAAAGTTGGTGAGTGTTACTACGTACAATTTCATGTTTTGTTGTTGCTGTTTTGGTAAAAATTTTTTTGAGTTAGGTTCACAAAAAAAATTACTGTTCAGTGCGCGTTCATGATTGCCGTTTAGCTGATCAGTAGAAAGCTGTTATGAATGCGATAGTCAAATGCAAAAATCCGATGTGTAATTGTTTAGCAACTCTCATTTACTCTCGTAAATGAGTCATATTTTAATAAATACTGATCGTGGTTTATTGCGGTTAATACTGTTGATTATATTCAGTACATTGAATCACTACGCAATGGAACAATCTGCAGTAGCAGACGACGTATTGAATGTGAGAAATGCTGGTGGACAAACGAATGTCCCAAGGTTGTTTTTCAGCTTTGTTTTGATCAAAATTCGTTTTATAATATATGTCTTCAAGTCGTTGTTTGTTTTACCCCTTATAATTGCTGAAAACAACTGCAGAGGAAGTGCCATCGCGCTGTGTGGCAACAGTCGTTCGATATGAGAAGCTTCTTAATGTTTCATCAACATTTCATCATGGATCCATTTGCAGCGCTTGGATGGTCATTTGAAAGCTTCGTAGCTACTGAACAACGTAATTCTTTTTTCTCCTCAATCATGATCGCATAAAGGGAATAAATTTTAATGTAATCAAAGAAAAAACATTCGAAAGCCAAAAATTCATTTAAATCCCACTGACTCAAGATCGTAATCCCAGTGTTTCACCCCGTTGCATACCTGCCAATACAAGCTGTGTATTTACACTTTCTGCACGTTGAATCTAAACCCTATATTATCAGTTGATTTCTGCTCATAATATGGGTGTGGGGTATGCCACATTGTGTAAAATGTCACGTTGACGACATTATTAAACTCATCCTTTTTTTTAAATGGCTTTTTGAAATTTCCATTGTCAAACGGACTCATAAAACTATCTCACTTCAAGCTAACCTGATTTGCAGCACAAAAAACATTCCCTTTGCAAACAAAACTTCAAACGACCTCTCTCACTCGATATGTCCAAGTAATTGTTGCTCAAATTCATTTCATATTGCTTTCAGTTGACTCATTCATTCATTTCAAACAGTATCTGCGAGAAAACCACTTCAATTTTAGTTTATTCTCATTTCGTTTCACACGCACAAACTGTTAAATCATAATTGTTCTCGTGGAACAAATTCACATAAACGCTCTAAAAAGGCTTTCATTTAATCAATGAAGGTCCAGCATGAAAAACGATGGAGTGACAAGAATTCGAAGTATTCAATAGTTTTCAGGTACATCAATCCAGCTATCTGATGTCTTCAGCTCCCGCAAATGTTGTTGGTGGGCATTGAGTAAACGAAGAGGATCTTGTGGAGAGCGCTGTCATACCTCGTTCACGTCCGATACGAAGGATATTCGTTCTTTTTTTTGGATAATTTTGAGTAAAGAAGTTGAAATACCTCTGTATTAGATTTCCCCATTGAACTTGCTTTTGTTCCTTTTAATCAATCAACAAATTCAGTGTTTGCTTACCGTTAAGGAGCGATGGTAATCTTGAAAGTAAAACAGTCAATCTTGAAAGCTTAGCAGAATTTTTGCTTTAATGTATAGTGATTATGCGCTAGAGAATCTCATCAAGATGCTTGACTCTGTGAAGTGAAGTTTTTTGAATGGCACCGGGCACTATTATAAACTCTTTCATACTCACAAAAACATCTCAAAGCATGAAACTTCTCATCAGCTTCAGATAGATCATCTGTAGTTGTTTCGTTAATTTTCCCTATATCATCGCTCCTAATAAATTGATGTTCTCTTACAACTTAATCCTATAATAATTTGAAAGGATTACAGCGGAATCCGTTTATTTGGGGAGCTTTAAAATCAAAAAACACGGTCTTTTTCAAAGTTCACTGATCTTCAAGTTCACTGTCCAAGTACTGTTTGATCGCGACATGAAGTGGCACGCATAAGAATCTGTGGCCAGTTGAATCGCTGTTGTGATTTCAGAGTGGTTCGATTAATTGCTGCTGTAATCCAAAAAGTAACAAAGCGGATATTATGAAAACAGAATGTATATTAAACGTTGTATCTTAGAGATGTATAAAATTTGTAGATTCATCGCTATCTTCTATCTACACTCGTTTTGAAACATAATGAAGGATTTGACCATAATTTCGTTGACTGACTAATTGTTCGACGATGTTTCTTAACTCAAGCAATGCATCGCAATTATGTGCAGTGGTTTTTTGGCACGATGCAAAGATATTAAGATGAAGCAGCGTCTAAATGTACATGGATAAATGTCATTTCTTTTGAAGTATTGCTTCAATTCAGATTCAATGCAATAGGCGGAATGAAACAAGAGAACAGTCAAAGAAGGATTTTTAGGTTGAAGAAACCGTATAAGCCACTTAATGGCAATCAAATTTTACAATAAAATGCACAAAAAAAAAAACAAATGAAGAAACAACGCGTTCAACGCGACAACGATCACATCCACGTCTCACTAACAATTCTAATATTCCATCCACTCCGGTTACATAAAAATAACTATAATATGAAAAGAATAACTAAACGCTGAATCACAGCATACGACAATCGAAAACGAACAATGAATGATTTCACAGAACACTGTAACATAAATGTAAGAACGGACAAAACAAAAGTATTCATGACGCAAATATAACAACTGATGATGCTCATTATTAGAACGATAATAACGATAGGCAAAAATGAACAAAAACAGGAACAAAAGTGACAAGAAGAACTGGAAAGTTAAACATCAATCCGCTAACGGAAAATAGAACGACCACACCCTGGCATTACGGGATTACAAACAAGGTGTACAATTCAATGAACCTGAAGCGCGTCGCGCTGGCACCAATCAAGGCTCCTTAATGAGAACGAATTAATACTAAGCGCAAGCGTTTCTTCATAACAGTCCGCAATTACAGCCACCATTTCAAATGGTTCATTAAATGTCTCTCGATCAAATTCACAGCTAAATTGACGGTTAGCTATAGTTTTGTGATTTGTTCCTAATACTCCCATCCATACTAGTGCATAAAATATTTAATCATTCAAGCAACATGTAGGCTTTCTCAACTGAATTCGGCTTTCCTCAACCCACCTGCAACCAATGTCAACAATCTGATAATCAGTTTGTAATTGTTACTGCAACTGCAATTATTGTCATTACTTCGCGAATAATCCAAAATTTAAGTATCGTTTTCAATTCTCCAATGCGGAAAATCTACGAAGTGAGGTTTCATGATATATGCACTTCACCCCTTTAGATTGATGAGGAATGATAACGAAGTTATTGGCGGAGTGTTGCGATGTTAATGATAGACATGCTAGCAAGAAGAATAACGATGAGGATAACGATGCTAATGTTGTGTTGATCTCATGGTATAGTGATTCGACCCGTCGCCTTGGTACTATTGTTATTGCGTTCGTATATTCGTTTCTCCCATACCGGTGTGAGGCAGCTGTTGAAATAGTCAAAATTACTTCTTACTGATTTGTGGATTTCATAGAATTTCTTGGTTGCTGAATAAGCGAATAGTTGATGATTCCTAACATAAAATTTTGTTGATTTCTCAGGTGCTCACATTCTACTCTTGATCCGACGATTTTGATTTGTATATGAGAATCACTACTTCTGAATGATAGACTTTTTTGCGTTTTCGATTTGAAAGATACAAAATGCTATGAATTAGCAAGATTGATATAAGACCTAATTGTACTCATATTCACACAATTTACGATCGTATTTTTCTATCTAGCAGCTATGAGGATTAAAAACGACGCTTATAATTTGAACGATTGACGAAGTAACCAGTTTGACGGCAACAGTGACGAAACTGATTGGCACTGGATTCAAGAGAGTCAAATTGAATCGAGACACCCTCTAATCAACTTCACATTTGCAACAGTCAAACAAACACTCACTGCTAGTAAGGAACAATAATAATGAAGAAAGTGGTACACATACATTTAATGATAAATGGTAATAGAAATAGAAGAGAAGCGGAGGGATGATGAGATATAGAGGCACTAACCGAAAAAAATTATCCAAAGAGATCATTCCTGGATGCATGCTTACAATCGTCGACAAAGTTGTTACACGATCAACGCTAAACACTCAAATGAAAAATAAACACCATGGGTACTCACAGGTATACAAACATCTAATTGTATGTCTGACAAACAGTCATATTGCTTCAAATACAGCTTTAATTTTGAAAAGATGCAATTCATACCTATATGTTCTATTCCATCGAATATTGATGATATTCAGCAAATTGAGCACAAAAAGAAACTCCAAATCATTTGTGGTGCATCCATCTGACTATAAGTCAAACGCATTTCAGTGGCGATGAAAGTGAAATTGAATCTGTTATTGCCACGACTCACTATACTTTTATAAATGCAAAATCTTCACCAGACTGCTTAACAAGTAATCGTAGACAAACCAAAAGGGCGGGTAAAATGAACACAAATCAAAAACACACAAATAAGATTCAATCGTAAATTTTAAAATGAGAGAACAAATATTAGAACCCGCATGACGAAGAGAACGTAACGAAGCAAGTGTCATGATATAATACCATAAACAAGTCCTCAAACGAATTGCTCTGTTAAACGACTTTGAAACGATCAGCAAACGAAGCGAGTGATTAAATGCTTCTCAATCAGTTAGTTAGTTGTTCGATAACTTTGGGTAATCACTGTTGTGCGGTTAGCGATCGATACATTATTCAATACGCATTATTGAGATAAATAAGTCGAATGACGATGAGAAAGAGATCAATAGATTGAAAACGCTATTCCCTCGAAGGACCTGCAACTGCAGCATCTGTAAACGAACAGTTCGAACCTTTCGATGTGTCGCCCGGACTGCTGATCATCGACTGCGATCGATTGAAAACAAACTCATTCACATGCTCGCTGAAAACTTCACTGGCTGAACTGGCCAAATATGAATTAACACGTAACGTATGCATCAATGTGGCAAACATTTCGCGTATATTATTTGCCCGCCTTTTCAGTTGAGCACATTCAGAGTATGTGAATAACGTCCTTGAGTTTGAAATGAGCTGATTGGGAGGAACTCGACTGCTGCCATTTGCATAGTATTTGTCGTCACTATTCATCGGTTCCAATTCATGTCGATCGTGTTTCCTTTTTGGCACATTTTGTCGCTTCAATTTATCGCCATTTCTGATTATTTTCTCACCAATTATTTCCACATCACTATCGCCATCATCTTCACTTTTAACGTTTACGGCTGCCATGATCGATGAGGACGGCTTCTGGAGTTCATCACATTCGTCATCAGCATGTCCTTTTTTGCTCATCTCTTCACTAAACGACGACCATTCAACGTTTTTACTTTCATCTTCACTGAAGCGTCGTTCAATGCTCATCGAACCAAAACTGTTCGTTAATGATCCATTCGTTGCACTTGCTTCTTCATCATCCACACAACAATCATCCTCCGGGTTATCGACCCTAAAAAATGCTTCTAATGAGTTCAAATGAACCATTTCTGCTAACGATTCAGCGCTTCTTTGTCGTTCAGCAAGAACAAATGCTAAACAAAGCAAGTGAACTTGCGGCTTGACTGATACTGCTCAAAGTGACAGTTGTATGATGAGATGTATAATAGTTACCTATATTGAGTGAGCATCAAATCCAACTCATTCTCGTATTCATCCTTCAGCAGATCAGCACTCAAATTCACTCGCAAATCATCCATTTCGGAATCGTGTATGAACTCATAATCGCGACAACGACGCACGTCGAAACGTTCTTTTACTCGGTTCCCTTTACGATCCAAATACACATATGCTTTCGGGTTTTTCGAGCTCAAATGCCCTCGATAATAACCACTTCCCATCTGAAAATACGCACAAGACAGCTTATTGTTGACCGCTTACCTATTCTACTCAACAGCTGTTAGGTTGTTCTGTTCATCTTCCTCTCATAGTGATCCATTTCTCATGCTCGGTTAGTTTCTTGACGTTTAATTTTACTAGAAATTTCACAATGTGAAGGCTAGAAAGATAATATTGAACAACTATAATCATTGCCGAGTTGAAGCATCAATGCAAAGTGATTTTGCAATGCACCAATTTCGTCAATTGTGAAAGAGTTCGATTACTTAAATAAATTCACGTAGCAACAACTGAAGAACGTGTGCCATAAACTTCGAGCAAATGCACATAAAGCAAACAAAGCTGCCCACACACCCCAAAGAGTTGATTGATATCAGCTGTAGTAGGATGGAAGTTGGTGGCTCGAGTTGCGTTATACAGATCACGTTTTGCTAGTGATGGAGTTGTACGTGGTACTTGCACTGAAAACGCGACTATTCGGCGCCGTCTTTTCATTTGACGAGTCGACTCGTCGTCATCCGAATCGTAATCCTGAAAATTATCACACTGATCCGCAAATTCATTAGCTGCGAAATTTTGGTCATTCAGTTTAGGAACGAATATTCAGTTCATTCATAGTTTGGAAAATTCATTTTGAATGGCAAAACAACATTCCCCAAAGAGCGCAACTACCACTGAACATACTGTTGAGGATACGCCAAAGAATGGAGTCCGCTTTTTATTTCGAAAATTTAACTCAGTTTTAATGGGACGGATATAAACGTTCAGCGCTCTTAATAACGATAATCAAACGATGAAGAATGAAGGCGTGTCAGTTGAATGTACACTTGAAAATGTCCACAACAAGATTTAAAAAGCAAATGAACAAATACAAACCTTTTCGATGTCATCAAGCAGCTGATCGTAACTCTCCCGGTCGGTCACTCGTAAAAAATCGATCATCAATCGTAACATATCCTCTTCATTTTCCGCTTCGTTCCTTTCCACAGTCAGTAATCGTTCATGAGTTGCATTGAACATGCTGAAAAGGATCAAAACTGATTCATTTCTCTTAACAATGCTGAAATTAAGGGTACAATTATTACGCTTCAATTAATAACGTTTAATTAATCTATGACTCCGCAGACTGAAGATGAGGATTGCAACAACAAAGCAAGAATCCTTTTTCACCACATGACACCTATTTGGCATAAAAAAGAAACGCTTGATAAGAACATCACTAAACATTTTTAATTGCTATAAGGAGTAAAATGCATTACGTTGCTGGATCAGTAACAAATGAATTCGATGTGTAATTTTTTCGATTCAAATCTTTCAACGCCAGCTCCAGTTCACGCCGCTCTTGCTCGATTGACAAATAATCATCGTCATAAGCACCGTTGTGATGCTGTCCAATCAAGTTATCGAACATTTTCTTCATATTTTCACTCTCCCCGATACCTTCATCAACACAATCTTTTGCTGATTTTAATTTCGACTTATTGTCAACTGATCGTTTTTGCATCAATGAATACCATTTCTGCAAAACATATTCATTTAGTGAATCGATCATAAACGCGTTCAACGTTCAAAAGAAATGATGACTGCCGAATACACTCCTCACATGATGTCAGTAACATTCATAATTTGGTACGTTATATAGATATAGAATTTAATATTTCCAATGCAAAAATTGTGTGAAAACTGGATGGTTTACTGAATCAAGACCAAGTTCGAAGCACAACACAAACACAACTACCTTATCGGAAGTATCACTGGAATCCATCAAAGCTGTTGCACACATTGAACCGGAAGCAGATTCACTCATCGACGTAGAGCGTATTATTCGATGCCTTTTCTTCTTTTTTACTTTCCCCGAAAGTTCTTCTTTACAGCCACTTTCGTTCACATCTAAAACTCAACTTCATTATTCGATTGTACCACATCAACACAACATACCACAAACCATTCAAATCCACAACATGTAAAACACACTAAAACTTTGTGTCATTAATAAAGCTTATTTTCAGATCAAAATTATGACTATTCTTTCACTTTTCACACGTATTCAATTTGAAAGTATAATTGTCAACTCAATTCGTTTGTTTGAAGCTTAAAATTAAAATTATATCTACTGAAAATACCCCATCTGTTGAATACTAAATAAATGATGGAACAAATCAGCACATTACCTGTCCAATCCACTACTTGATCAATCACTGAATTCAGCACATCACTGATAACGTTTTGTTTTGAAGAAGTCGCACGATTAAATTCGTAATTTGTTTTGTTTGCCTGATGGCGCGATGACTCTGACTGTGACATATAATCAACGTTTGAAGAGCAGCAACATTCAGTAACAGCCGCTGTAAGGCGTTCGTTTGATTTTTTGACATGAGTTGATGATCGATGATGTGCAACAATGTTCATTTCATCATATCCAAGTTGACTGCGTGACGCTTCTTCATCAAAGAACGCATTCGTTTTGGAGCACAGTTCTTCGTTAGATAAATGCGGCATAGTTCGTACGTATTTGCGATCAACATAGCTCGATGTTGTGCCATTGGTTAAGGTGCTGCCGCTCGAAGATGCTTCACTGAACAATTTATTCTTTATCTGCACACGACGTATCGCTTCATCTTCTCGTGCCAACCGTCGCATCGTTTTTAAACTACTCCTAGATGCCTTCAACAGTCGTGCCCTTTCAATATAAGCTTTCGCCTGAAACAAAAAATAATTCGCCAAATGAAAACTCTCTATCAAGTAACGCATTTTTGAACAATAATAGTAAATATTATTATAATGGTAATAATCATAATAATAATAAACATAATAATTAGTACCAAAAATGATACTATTTGGTCGTGTCAGCTTGTTCCTTTCCTTTTTTTAAACTTCATTACAACACAAATATTTCATCTGATCATGAATGGTGAATACCACAAGAAAAAATCAATAACGTACGCATTCAGGGCGTTCGATATGACTAAGTTTAGTGTTTGTTGGCATTTTATAACCACTAAGAAGATTTGGCCGACGTTTATACACTGCTTTTGAGCCACTTTCTGATTCGCCATCCAACGATAAGTCGTCAACTTTCGGTGGGATCGTTCCAAAGCGATGCACTTCGTCATCCTAAAAATCAAGTATACAGCTTGTATTAAACATCTAAAAACATTGAATTCATCAAAATTTTTACTTCCTTCGTCTAATGTCAACAGAATTCCCTTAGACAATGGACGATGAGACATAAAAACGCATAAGAAATGAACTTAACGATTTCCCTTCATCAATAAAATAATATTATATTGATATCAATCACATTCTAATTTTGCGTATGAATACCATTATCAATAAATTGTGTGCTCAATGATACCCGTAACCCTATGTCTAAAGAGACAAAACATAAATTGAAACAAACACAACAGAAAAGTACGTACATGAGATGCAAATTCGAGAGACATATCAGACATATCACTAGAAAGCGAGCATAAATCATCGTTGTCGGTGAGACCAGAATGATTGGAAAACGTCGTCGTCTCCTCATCATGATTTGTTGTTACACATGCATCATCAGGTGGTTCAGTTTTTGGTTTCTCTTTTGCTAAAGGAACAACCACTTCATTCGTTTTGCGTTGAATTTCTCTGCAAAACAATACAATTAATTCAGCTCATTATAGGCTGTTAGTCAAGGAAATCTCGAGTGGATATTATCTGCAACATGAGTGCAGCCCTGGGATTTCTATTTTTGGAAGTAGGCTTCCATTCATTCATGGGATGGAGATTTTTCACAGCATTTTCAGTGTACGATTTTTTGTGCATCACCAACAGAATTAATATACTGGATGAGTAGATTCAACTCAAGAGTAGATCTTCTATTCAGAGAGAGAAAGAGGTTTTTGCTTGTAGACGGGCTTATACTTTTCGTAAACCTTCCAGGAGGAGCTTTTATTCAACGGAATATGGCGAATGCATAATTGATCTCACTGATCACCAAAGAATCAGCTAACTTACTGAAAGAAACAACTAAGAGTCTTCGCGGCTGTTTCGGCTTCTGCTGTTTCATTTGCAGAACGAACAGATTTCTTGGTTTTGGCTGAACGCGATGATGACAATCCTTTTGTGGTCAAACGCTTTTTCGATGGCTGATCACTATTACTGGCCACAACGCCAGTGGTCGTGTCAACGTTGTCACTGATATCTGCATGCACCACCGAATCTCCCTGCAGCGCAAATAAACGACAAATGCACATAGATACAATGAGAACCGCCGATAAGACAGCAATGACTTGAGATTGCTCGGCTGAGCAATAAACAACGTACGCATGCTATATACACAAGTCTCCTACCTGATCAGAGCTACTTGATACTAGTTGATTTTTGCGAGCTTTCTTTGGTTTAGGTGCCGCTGAATTCAGCGAAGATGGGGCAGAAACTGCCGAATCGCCGGTTGAGATTGCCACTAGATCTGCTGTGCCAATTCGAGATTCTGTTCGAGGTCGTCCACGCCGCTTTTTCTCATTTGACTTTCCATGGGGCACTCTAAAATGGCTACTTTATTTATGTTTTCTCTTTTTTCCCCGAATAATCTTCGCAGTATCACAATGATGAGAAAGCAGTAGCAAATGAATGCGGAAAATAAGATGTTTCGCGCCATTCTCAAAGTCAGTATTGCTGATAATACTGCAACAAAAATTGCTCTAGTTCAAAAATTGGAAAACAAAAATGTGAAGCACATACGGAATATTTTCGGTTGTTTGTCCAGGTGGCGCCAATCGCCAAAGAGCGATCTCCTCTTTCTGATAGTCCACTTTGGTAGCATCAACATGTACGCTCACTTCCATCTAAAGCTCCTCACACAACATTCGAACAGTTCAGAACGATAGATCTTTCATCAGTAAACTCACTTCATAAATTGGGACTTAGGCTTGAGCACATTCTAGCACAACTTTTAAATCAGTTCCAATTGACTCTCTTTCAAAAAAGCATTCATTTTCGTAAATTCAATCAAGAGTCAAAAACATCAGCCCCATCCATACGTGTATAAAAGATCTTAGTGATGATTTTTAAGAAAATTAAACAGCTGAAAGAAAATGTAAAATGTTGCTTTGATGCAAATGCACGGTACAATAATAACCTTTATTTTATCAGACACCTGAGATGAGTCGAACTGCTGCTTTCGTAAGCGTTTCCTTGGCGTTTCAGGCTCAGATGCACGTTGCGGACTATCGCCTACCTATAAGGAGCATTCAAATACAATGCTCATTCGTGTCAACTGTTCGCGAATTGATACAATTTAATGATGGAAACTATCATAAACTGCACAAATACTTCTTCTGTATGCTACAGGAGCAATGTTCTTGAGCAATGCTGGAATGTATGTCAAAACGACATTGAATTTAGTTACTCCCGAACACTGTTCTAACAGCACAAAATGGAATCCAAACAACAAAAAAATAGCACTGGATGATGAACGAACCCTCAAGAACGTTACGGCTCCACTTTCTTGGGAAGCTGTGTTCGAATCACGAACAATTGTATCGTTGAAGTGAGTTGTGAAAGATGAATCGTAATTACAAGAAGGAGTTGCACTGAGTGCTCGAATTTCACTGTTGGCTGAGGCACATTTGGTTGAACAGCTTGAAAAAAAAAAGAAAAACATTTCAACTCAGGACTATTATTATTGTTTGTATTTGAAAAATAACACGAACTATAAATGTTTCATTAAGTTTGAATTAATTCTTAATAAAACGATAACCTTCTTAATCAATGGAACAATAGTATAACGATTTTTTGATCTATCACACATTTGCCAATTTATCTCTAAAATGTAGAAAAGAAACCTTGCATCATCGGGAAGCACTGGTGAAGAGCTGAAACTGCTGGTACATGATGCAGGTCTTGATGAAGGAGCATCTGCCGACATTACGAGACGACGTACAGCAGAACCAGCTAAATTTGAATTTTGAGTGCACAGTAAAGAAAATAATATAAATTAACAACAACGAATGTTAGACGCATGGAGAGACATTCGCCCAACGCTTTGGTGGAAAGAAAAATTAGAAGTAGATGAAGGAGCGATGATTTACTGACCTGATGAAGAAGGATCACGAGTTTTGCGTAAAATACTTGGTCTAGGACTAGGGCCAGCATGTGAGGGTGTTGTAACGGTTGGTGTTGAGATGGGGGTGGAATTCGAAGAGGGAATCGTATGCATGTTCGAGTGCGGCAAAACGACACAATTATCAGACGAAGACTGCTGATTGGTGGTTGTGGCCGTCGCAGAAGTGTTGAGCAGCGAGGGATGGGTGTTGGAGGATAAGCCCGACTGTTTGGCGCTTGTTGCATCACTCTTTACGCCTTGAGGAAGTATCACACAACAATTACCGACCGTTTGAAAGGTCGACGATGAAGATGAAGATCCCTTCAAAATGCAACCAATTTAGGTGCTCAAAAAATAATAATTCCCATCGATATGCAATACAAAATTCTTTTCACTAAAGAATCCCCTTCAATTACCAAAACATAATTCCGCCATTTTCGAAGAAATATGAATTTAGGAAATGTTCTAATGGCAACGAACTGTAATTGGATGCTGACAAATGTCAACTAATGAAAGCTGGTAATAAATGTGAATGTTTATCAATTCCCGTTTGGTTGTTTTTGAGCACATAGACGGAAACAAAATGCAAAGCATAAACAATCGTTATCAACTGACCTTAGCAGCGTTTGGCTTATACCCGTTTACAGGTGCGTATCGTGGACAGACGGATGCAGAGGAAGACTGAAAAAAATTAACAAAAAATTCAATTCGCAGTCCCAAAAAAGTCGAGAATCTCCAAAAAATCCGCCATCAAATTTTCACTTGCTTGTTCATGATAATGACGAACAGAAATCTCAACTGATCACATGAAGAGATTAATAAAAGCGACACTTCTGATCTCAAAAAATGGACATCAACGACAGACAGCTAACAACTACTCATTAATTCGATTCTTTGGAAAAGTACACAAAAAACTGATAATAATCAAGAAGTTCGCATAAAAAGAAGAATGTCTTTGTTGTTGCTATGCTATCAACACGTCACCTCTGCGTCATCCCTCTTCCTTTCCTCATTCATAACACACTCTTTCACTCACTCATCAATGACTTCCAATCGAAATTTCAGTATAATTTCATTTTTGCTGTCATCTCTTGATTTTTTCCACCAAGTGCACATAATTTCACGCGCAAAAACCCGAAAAAATTCAACAACTTCACACCCCTCTGACCACCCACGAAGTGCAAAACGATTTGCAAAAAGTACTACACGCACACACCACATGTAAATAATACAAAGTACCAAAAGTAAGCACAAATCGTATGTGACACTATTTAACGTCAATGTAACTTTCGGTTATTGTGTTGATGTTGTCAATATGAACATTTATGAACATCTTATTATGATTCAAGAAAACGAAATTATTCGAAATAAAAATGAATTAACGAATAAATCCTTACCGCCACGCCAATTGATGTCTGTTGTCCCATTGAACAAATTCGAGTTGAATCATTAACTTCCGCACTACTTACAGGAGTACTTCTCGAGTTTGCGTTCACTCTGAAAACAATTCAAAAATTATTTTATTAACCACTTTTTGGCGAGTGAACGAAATGAATTAAATAACCATTCACGCAAAACTGAATCGAGCAAGCGATTGGAGTCGTTTCAAACGATTCACAAAATTCAAACCACAATCTCCACTTCAAAGCTACTCTTTCATCTCAGCAGTTTAATCAGATTCGCAAAACTTCTTGCCCAGGACACAAATAGGTAATAGAATTGTCAACGTACGAAGATTGCAGAATTGCTTTCAAGACGAACATAATAAGATGTTTTTAGCATCAACTCTACACTTCATTTTTTTCTCGAATTCAACTGCGATGACAGAAGATAAAAAATGAATTGGTGTTAAAAATCAGCAATTGGCTATTTTAGTTAATGATTCTTTTCAACTGTTTTCAATCTCAAACATTTTCATTCCATCAGAATAGATGGAATACTCTTATTCTGAAGGCTTGATTCGTAACGTGAAATGGAAAGGAAAGGAAATGAAAGAAGAAATATTCGACTAAATGTCTATGAATGAACATACCTTAAGGAAGTATTTGCAGGAGTTGTAGTAACGTTATTCGTATTCGAAGTGCTGTAGTGATGAGGTTGTTGTTGTGGGGATGCTGATGATGAAGACGAGAAGGCCGAATTGGACGACCGTGAAATGACCGATCGCATACGAGGAACACACATTTGCGAATAATACCTACTTAATGAAGAGTGGTATTTTTGGTATCGTTTTCTCTGCGGAATGTGAACACAGAAATCAGGAGAGTTGTGCGTTTTGAACACGACAACTCGACGAGTCGAGCATCCCTCTGACGTTCAATTTGAATAAATGGAAGTAGTTTGCAACTAAGCGAACATTCTCACTGCTCACGTTCCATAAAATGAATACTTTTTTTGCAATCACCAAAATCGAAAAATAGAAAAACAGATGTGAAAAAAAAATTGCTCAGTACAGAGTTACCAGATAATCCAGAATAAATACTTACTCAAAACATCATGAAAAAATGAATAAAATAAAGTGTTAAATTTCAACAATGATTTAAACTGATCCACTTCAACACCGCTAAGGATTGACTCACTTTTTTTTGCAAAAAAAAAAGACCCTCGAAGGTGTGTTACAATCAAGCTTAACTAGGCTTTCATTTCATGCAACTTACTCATCTCGTGCATGTGTACTCAAAAGGTCAAAAGACAAACCGTGAGTCAAATGCAGCAGCCATACCAGCCGCACCGTTCGGGGCTGGCGACGTACTGAACGATAACGGTGATGTTGAACTGGATCGTTGTTCATCACCAACTGCAGCTGTGGCACATGCACGGTGGTTGCGATTCACTGACAGTGATGGCGACGATACAACTGAATGTGTTTGTTGTACGGCTGAGGGCACTTGTGCTTGACATGCAACTATCTGTTGTTGTTGTTGTTGTTGTTGGAATTGTTGATAAACAACTGCCATTGGACCGCTGCCCAATTGAGCAAAATCATCTTTAAAATTATTATTTCATTATCACTTCAATTTTGTAAGTATGAATGCAACGAAGTAAATTTAGTGTATGACTTTCAAAGATTATTTTCCATATTGTTCCAAATTTCAATCAATTGAACTGTTTTGTATAGGATTGACAAAACTGTAATGAAAGAAATGAAATAAAAGTGGTGGGATATAAGATAGATGATAGTGAATTTGATTTAATTCCTACAAGGTTTGAAGAGAGCATGTGATGATGGCGTTGTGGTAGAGGACGACGGACGGATGGTTATAACTTTTGAAGCGGCTCGAGGCAAATAAGAGGGCTGTGGCAAAGGTGATGAAACCACATTCACTGGAGTACTACCGTGCGAAATTTTCTGGGGAATACTGCAGTTGGTGGCTGAGACCAACTGTGACGGTGCCTGAGCTCTCATAATTGTCTGAAAATAATTCAGTATTTCATTTATTGATAATACATTTAAAATACAACTAAATATCAATTAGCATGCATTGTCTGGCGCAAGCAAGTATAAGCGAACATGCTGATAAATACTAAATGAAAAAAATAAATTGAATATACAAAGATCAATGATGAAAAAGACGCCTTAAGGATGGGTCGTGAACTATGTGCAGTAATATTCGACTGCAGTCGAGATGCATTTAAATTGGCTTGTTGCTGAAGATATCTTCTGACATCCTTCTGCAATTAATCACAAACAGTTAGAGCAGCGTTCATTTAACTGCAGTTAAGTTTTAATCAAGAGCATCATTATTATCATATACCTTAACAAATAACTTAATCAGTGTTTGTGATAAGCTTTGCTAAAATGAACAACGCGTTTTTCTTTGGAGGTGTCAGAGACATAACACAACAAATAATACTGATATAAACGTACACGCTCAGACTCATCCACAACTGACATTGTCTCGTTGCAAGTGAGATCTGCAATGAACTCGGATCAGTAGCAATTCATCCATATCATACACTGCTCAAATCTAATACAATACTAATTTGAATTATAAATGACAGTATTTTGTGAACAATTTCATGAAAATAAATGCTATTTGAATATTTTGTTTTTCATGCATTAAAGCAATCTTATTCATTGGCTAGCATTTCAACGATTTTTAGGTGAACATCAAAATTTCAGTTCATATTACGAACGATTCGAGAAAAATCAAAAGAGTAAAATACCTCGAGACATATTGATCAATGGTAATGTTAACAGAGAGTTGTGTAAGCGTTATCTTGAAGGAAACATTCGTACCTGAAAACAATCTGAACAAATCGTAACGTATCAATTGTGGGAAACTGGAGACGATACAGCACTGTTCAGCATCGGAATAATATTCTAACATCAGTACTCAGCTTTACGAAAATACGTGCAAGTAAGATAATGAAAGAATACTCAATTAATAAATCCCTATAACGTTATCGAGTGAAAATTCAACGAAACTAGCACCAAATACATATTGCTGTGCATAACATCGCGTCAACAACAGATGCTTGTCAACAATTCAGCAACAATCATGATTTTGCTTGGATATTTCAAATTCAGTCTAGATGGAATGAAAGCAGGATCGAACGAAATTCAACAAAGAATTTTTAATATCACGAGTACAAAAGACCGTACAGATACTTATGGCAGGATTTTCGGCTAAAATGCGAAATTTTTCGAAAGCAGAAATTACATGAAGTGGAAACTGATGCTCAGGGTGGAGAGAGGAGAGGGTGGATACTAAGCCTCGGGTGGGAGCGGAGAGGGGAAACTGAGCCAGAAATAATGCATCCCGAATTCATACGCAATATTTTCAAAGTGCCCATAATAAAAACTCATTGAGGTAATATCACGTTTAACGGCGATCAATATGTAAAAAAAGAAAAATGATTCGACAAATATACTGCAATGATGAATTTTCATTGCATCCATTTTCAACGGAACTAAAATCAGACACAGGATAAATGAGGAATGAAACAACTGAACGGAAGTATGACGAACGATTAACTTAGTTCTTTATGCACACGACGGCGGCAATCATAACAAAATTTATTCTTCTCAGTGAATCCAATTAATTAAATTACTTTGCATAAGGAAGTCGAGCATCGAAACTCTGGCTGGCAATGCCGGTTCAACTTTATCCCTATCCAGCGTACATGTTAAAATCGATAATTGGAAGCAAATGTGGAACTACCGGTTCCTGACCACTGAGCTGAACCAAGACTTGCCGGGTTGGATCAGAACTCACCCGACTGGAGCAAAACTCGCCCGGTCAAAATTATTCCCAACCTAACTAGGCTCGGCAATCTTAGTCCGGTTAGGTGGCCTGGAACCGACAATTCTACAATCTCTCATTGGAAAGGCTATTTAATTGGTGGCTTTGTTAGGATGTCTTTTTATGTACTTATGCATAGTCATGCTATAAATTATGAAGAAAGTAACTAGGATCAATTCATAGAACAGTTACTGACAACGCGAATAAAATTTGATACCTTCAAGATAATTATTTTACAAAAACTTCATAACGGATGAATAACTGAGAACAGATAAAACTTTAAGATATGACTGATACAGTTTCCGTGACTTCTTATGAATGAAACACTCTCAAGTTGATAGGATTAGGTGAAAGCCTGTAAAAAATTCAGCTTGCTTAACTCTGAATGGTCTTGATCTACCACCCCCAAGTGCTGTCTGATTTGAAAGAAGTGAATAAAAATGGGTTGATCTTTAAGAACCGAATGCAATACATATGACAAAACGTAACTCAATTATAGCATTACATTACACATTCACAAATTGAAATTAATATAAAAATTAAATCAACGAATATCCAAAATATAGTTTAATTTCCAAAAAAAAATTTCAAATAC